GTGGTTCCGCAAGTTGGGGGGAGACTTGGGGTTGGGCCTAGGAACGGTCCAAATCTACTGCGACAACCAAGGAGCAATAAAGCTCCTGAAGCATCCGATCGCTTCGCAGCGGTCGAAGCACATCGACGTGATTCATCACTTTGCGCGGGAGAGGGTGGCCCGGAAGGAGGTCGGGTTTGCGTACTGCCGGACGGAGGACATGAAGGCGGACATCTTGACGAAGGCGCTGGCATCGGGGACGTTCTCGAAGTGCAAGAGTGAGATAGGAACTGCGTAGAATACTTAGTGCGTGGGGGAGTGTTAAATTCGGGCGATTTGCGTGCGTACGCCCTAATATTCTAGGTAATTCGTAGCCGTCAATTGAGGCTTCGGTAGGCCGAATATCGACAGTAGAATGGCAAGTTTTTTGGTGTGTTATGCGCGCAATATTGGCCGTGCGATCTTGAGTCGAGTCGAAAAATTCAGGAGTCCCAATCACTAGTGTGTAGTAGCCCCGACCTGGTAGTACGGTACTACCGACCACCTCGGTATAATACGGTACGACCACAAGTCCGAGTCATATTTAGCCCATACAGCTTCTCCCGGGCAACCTGCTTGTTTTAGTGTCATCTAATTTAGACTAATTCAGCAACAGACTGACTAAGTTAGAATAATTTTCCACGTGGAATGATCGCTTCTTCCCCACGGTCTCTATCTCCCACAATCCTCGACGCTTGATTGCCTCCATATGGACCACACCGTCCGTTTTGATTTGCGCGGTTCTTCTCTCGAGCACTGATCATGATCCCGCGTCGGTCGCCCTATCCCGGCCCCTCTCTGAGCTCGAGTAGCCCTTGCTTAGCAGCATACGCCACAGCTTCATCTCCACCCGAATTCCTTCAAGGATCCCGCTTTAGCCCTCAATTTTAGCTTTTGCTCTCTCTGCTTCAGCTTTGGTTGGATCTCATTTAGGGTTAGCTATCCCTCTCCGAGCTCTCCAAGCTCCAAAACTTACATAAGTGTGGCATATTCCTCCCGCAACCCTCTAAAAGGGTTTCTCTCGCCGCCTCCGAATCTAGCTTTAAGCTCCCGAAATTCCCCTCGGTTTTCTTCTCCCGGAACGCCTCCGCTTTGACACCCACACCCCGGACCAACCCCGGGCCCTCGACCATCTTGGCCAAGCTCTCATAGCCGGCGTGCCCTAACCTCCGGTGCCACAACACCGGGCTCTCGGCTTCCTTCACGAGCAAGCACGTGTCCTCCCACGTTGCCGTTGGTTGGCAAATCACCGACAAGCCCTCCGCGTTCTCCTCCGCCCGAAGCATGACCTCCCCGTCCATGGACACTTCGCATACCTCCCCGCGGAACACAACTTCGGCCCCTACCGCGGTTGCTTTCTTCACCGAGAAGAGGTTTTCCGCCACACCCGAGACGTACGCCACCTCACGGAGAAGGTTACCCGCTCTCCCGAGTGCGTCTCACACCGCAACTCCACGGTGCCAACCCCGGCTACCTCAAGAAACCCCTTGTTCCCGAACTTGATTGCCCGAGTCCCCGGCTCAAGCATCTTCAACGTTGAGAACGAGCTTTTGACCCCCGTGATGTGTTGGCTAGCCCCGGAGTCAACAATCCACCTTCCGGTCTCCACCCCGTCCCCGGCTACAAAGGCTACCCCTTGCCGGCCCCCGGTTTCCCCCTTCTTCGGGCACTCCCTCTTGAAGTGGTCCGGGCTACCGCAAATGTAGCACTTCTTCCCCGACTTGGGCTTCTCCGGCTCTTGAAGCCCGGACCGGCACTCTCTTGCAAAGTGCCCCAACTTACCACACTTGTGGCACGCCATGGAAGCCTTTCCCGGGCCACCCTTGCCCTTGCCGCCAAAGTTACCACCCTTGGTCGCGTAGGCCACCGCCGTTGCCGGGCCCGAGGCCCCGCTGTCTTGCCCTGCAAACAGCCCATGCCTTTGCTCAAACACTTGCAACGTTGGGAGAAGCTCTTCAACCTTGCCTAGCTCCTTCTTGGTGGTGGTCAACACCGTTACTACACCCTCAAACCGGCTTGACAACCCGGCACGCACGCTAAAGGATAGATTATCCGGCTTCATGTCCGAGCCGGCGGCTAGCAAATCCCGGTAAAGGTCTTGGGCTCTACCCACATAGGCGGCAACGGACTCACCGGATTGCACCTTGAGGGTGCTTAACTCATGCCGGAGTTGCAACTTCCGAGCCGCACTCTTGCTCTTGTAGGTCTTTTTCAGCGCGTCTCAAGCTACCTTGGCATTCTCAGCTGCTAAGATTGCCCCTAGGTGCTGTTGCTTCCGAATATAAACGAGCCGCTGCCGCCTGCTGCAGCCGCCTGCTATGGTGCTGTCTTAGGGGGGATGTAGAAGGGGAGCTTAAGGGTGAACATAGAAGTGTTAGGAAACAGTGGCAATGGGCACCCTCCTCTTTTGAGGACTGACCCACTGTACGCCGCTTTCTTTCTATCTTCAAAAAGACTCATGTTTCGGAGACACCTCTGGTGGTCAATTTTTCTTCTTTCACTTTCGGCAAAACCTCCTCAGATGGCTTCCTCGAATGCTACAACTGGTTTGGAAAAACCTCCTGCTTCCTCTTACGCCACCATCACAGCTAGTAAGTCAGTTCTAGTAGCCATTACCACTGAGGCAGATGAGGAATTCGATGCTTTCCTCGAGGAGAATCCTGGCAAGCTGTTTGCTTGCTATGTTACTTATCCCAGTAGCTACAGCCCTATGCAGGACAGTATTGTTGAGGGGATCAGGGACACCATCACCAAGAACAACTCAAAGTTTCTTGATGAGGGGTTGTTCTGGTCAGAGTTCAAGGGTGGCACTCCAGCTAGGAGGGATGTGCACAGGATTCTGGTGGCATTTACACATGAGGAAGATCAGGCTGCTTTTAGGAGCTTGATGCAGGTTATGTTCAAGGATCCACAAGGGGTGTGGCTTCATGCTCAGATAGGTCAGGAGCGTCTTTCTTACGAGGACATCCTAGGCTCTTCGGGAGACAAGGGCCAGAAAGTGTACATGGTCCTGAAGAAGATGCCAGACTCCTTCACGGTAACTCAGATTGAGAAGTTTTTCACAGACTTTGTCTGGAAGTCAAAGGGGTTCACTCACCCCTTCCTCGGCAGCATTGATAAAATCACATGGTTCTGGCACAAGAGTGGAGTGAGAAGAAGGATGTTCATTGCAGAAGTCACTCCTCACAAGGAGGATCTGCAATGCAAGGAGCTGCCCTCCATCATCAGTCCCAGGCCTGGGCATATTGCACCTTTTGTGATCGGCTGCAGTCTCCATGAGTGTGGCCTCTGTAAGCAGAAGGGTCACAGAGAGGAGGTTCATGACAGCTTCAGAGGACGTGGAAGGACAAATTCAAAGAGGGGTGCAGAAGCCAACAGCCTGGAGCCTGGCTCCAAGCTTCGTGAGCAAAGTTTTCTGCTCACTAGATCTTCAGTGTTTGTTTTCCTGCTACTGTCTTGTGCAGATCTCCAAATTCGAGTCTGTTCTTGCTCCCTATGCTATCTGCTGCTGTCTCAGGTTGTTCTCCTGATTTCATTTCATGCAGCTTTGATCAAATTTGAAATCTGTCCTTGCTGTGCAGCTTTGATCTTTCCTTCCTGTCCCTGCTCTTTATGCTGTCTGCTGTGTTGTGCCCCTGCAACAATAGATTTGCATGAAAACTGGCTCAGATTGCACCTTTCTCATTTTGGATTTTCAACGTGGCAACGTCTGCACGTGGCAACGTCTGCTGGCAAGCCGGTGGGCTTCGCCCCCGGCTTGCCATCGGGGGCTCCGCCCCCGAACCCCCGGTATCGAGCTCACTACCATTTGGTACCTTGTGCCTCATCGACCTTCAATTTCTCTTAAATGCCTTATCTTACTCCCTCTTATCTCATTCTCCTTCTCCCAACGAAGTCCCAGTTCATGCAAGCAATCGACGACGACAAGTACATCGAGCTCGTGTCTGCGGACGACTCGAGGGAGGCGTGGAAGTGCACTCTCTGCATCGTTGCGGGCAAAGGCTTCTTTGGTTGCTACCGCCACATCGGCTGCGACGCCCACAAGCAAGCTCTCTCCGACGAGGCCGA